CAATGAGCCACAGAATGTCCGGGGCAAAACCAGCTCAGTGAGCTATTTGTCCTTTCTGCGCATAGAACAGCTTCACTTGATTGACACATGAAGGCGAGGGGAGAATAAGGCAGGTGTTGGACACTTTATTTCGTGTTGCTTGGAAACAAAACTCCATCATTGTTCAGTGAGGACAGGGACTGATGGTCCAGGAGGACTCACCAAAGGCTGCAGCCCTATTACTATGTCTGAAGATGCTTATATGAAATTATTCCCCTGTACTTCTCAATCTATTGTCCAGACCTTGTTGAAGTTTGCAGAAGCCAAACAGAGAACCAATGTTTGAGCCAAGCAAGCAACGTTCTGAACAAGACAGAGTTTCCTTCTGTGATGTGCTCTTTAAGAAAACTCTCAAGAGTTGTTTGTCCACAGGGAATGGCCAAGCAGTATAATAATTAGTGTAATTGATCCCTGTGTCAGTGAGAATAACTGCTTCAGGTCCAAGTCACCACCAAAAATATTCATAACAGAGCCATTCTATGGCAATTGGACAGCATCTCAGAGGCCACAGGACTTTTTGAATGTGCAGTTATGTCAGAAAATTGTTCCAATCTCATAGCTGGAGACCCCAAGCCTTTCCTTGTCATTGGTGTGGAAAGAATCTCACTGGCTGTTTCTCTATGATCAAAACAACACCTTGAAGTAGTGCTTTTGGGAGGATTCTGAAGATGGAGGAAAAGGAAGAGACTGGCACCCCAACATACAATATATTGTGGCAGCACCTCAGCCCCCTTTCCTCTCACCCCAAAGTACTACATATGGCTGAAATTGACCATATAATTGCTTAATCCTCCTGCCCTTCATAGGATGTCCATAATCCTCCAGTTTGGAAAGTTATGGGCAGCCTCATTGGCTTGCACCACATTATCATGTTTTACTGTAAAGATAACAGCCAGAACAAGAGATAAGCAGAAGGTGAGAAGTTAGGAAAGGATGGAATCCACCTGAGAAGGAGAGCGACAGTCAACCATAAAAATGGAAGACAAATTCAACTAAAGAAAATGAAAAAGGGGGCATAGAGAAGTGTTTGGAAGGGGGAATGGAAAGAGAAGTTACAGGAGAAAGAAAAAGGAAAGTTGACAAATTGAGGAGGGATACAAATAAATGAAAGAGAAGACGGAAAATGTAGAAGGTACACAAAACACGGAGGCAAGATCTAAACACCACTGCAGCACCTGAGGGCAACTTCTGTAGTATTCTTGCACAAGATGCCCTCAGTACCCCACCCCCTTCAGGGTGATCTCATGGTTTCCTTCTATCTTGTTTAGGAAAAGCTCCTACTTCCTGTGAAACCCTCATTCTGATGCAAATTTCAGCGTTGCAATTGCTCCATGTTTCATCACTCTTTCAATACGTACACTTTTGGGAGTGGGGAAGTCTTCTGGTTTTTGTTTGGATAATGAACAGAAACAAGTGCCGACTTAATTTAATCTACACATGCATTGTTTAACAAAGTTCAGTAGGGAACAAAATGATACTGAACAGAATTCCCACTGCACCCATACACAACAAGTAGACACTAAAATGAGCAGTCCACATATCAGCAGTCTAACAAAGGTGTTATATTAGAAGCCATAGCCAATTTGACTCAAATGATCTTATGCATGCTACATTTTTCCTATTATATTTGAAAATATTGGGTTAGGAAAATGATTCTGACAATGTCAAAGTTATTAAGAGATGTAGGGGAATAACAAGGAAAGGAACTTTTCCTGGAAAAATATAAAACACCTGTACAGAGGCAATATTACTTCTATATGTTATAAGGCAAGTTGAGATTTAATTCAAGATTTGCCTTAATTTACTTTAACCATCATTTTCCCATTGTGTCTTCTTTCTTTTCTGTTTTTACTTATTTAGTACTGGATAGTTCCAACTATTTAATGCATTGTTGAAGATTAGACAATAATTTATAGTCTACAATATTATGCACTGTCATCATGGACTGGAATTTACTCCAGTAAAAACAATTTGAAATGTAAAATACATGTATTAAATTATTGGGGGTGGGGGTGGGTTTACAGTCCAACTAGCTTAAGAAACAACATATTAAACATTGCCATATCCAGATCAATACAAACCAGAAATTTTCCTCCATCACCAGTTGATGTTGGGAATAGCTGAATAGTAAAAGTCAGCTGACAATGTAATGTCTCTGTTTCTATGGTGTCAAAAAGGGTCCTTTTTCTATAGTTTTATAGTTACCGAAATTAATAGTAATAATAATAGTAAGGTGAGTCACTCTTTCAACACCATAACCAGGAGGGGACATCTAATACTCTAAACATAGCTGCCCAATGCATGGCACCTCAGAATACTCCAATATTTGTGGGCAGAGAAATTGAAGGAGGATAATTTTCCTAAAATTTTCCAGGGAAAGGAAAAATTCTCCAACAGATTCTCAGTGTATTTCTGTTTTCCTAAGACTTTTGTTTGGGTCACCCCCACCATTTTAGTGCATCTTATCACTGCAAGATGGCTGAGTGAGTTGTTTAGATTGTTTCTTTCTGTCAGGCATCTCTCCATGACCCAGCAGCCTCCACTGCTTCCTGTTTTGAACAAGTCCCCTGGACAAGGAGTTGCCTCATGCAATATTTTTCTTCTCCTCAGCTTCAAGTTTGGGAACTGGGGAGCAAGGGCAATCATCTCAGGCTGTCTGACAAATGATTGTGCAAGCAAACAGAGCAGACTGACACACCCACTTTGGCCACCTTACAAGTAAAGTAAGCTTAAGATCTCTGAACCACACCCATGAGCCTGGCTCCGAATTTTTCTTCTACTTTGAACATTTTTAAAGCACCTTCTTTTCTATCACATTGAGTAAGAATGATCAAAAGTGTGGGATGAATTTTCAGCACAGAACACCTTGCATATCTTGCACATTTTTTTTTGCTGTATCGACATTAACACTTGTTGAGATTAATAGCTATTGGCATTAGAATCACATCCAGCCCAATGTCTTGTTGGGATTCAGTCAAGCAATGTGTGCCCATCCCATTAATAGCCAGTATGAGTGGAAATGAATCAGGAACCTGAAGTGTGCATCCCACAAAAATCTTTGACGCACTACAAATGCTTTAAGGTGTCTTGCATCCAGAGCAAGCTTGAAGTTGAAAGAGTCCAGTAGTGGGCCAATGTAGTGGCATACAAAATGGAAGGATGGATGGATGAACGAACGAACGAATGAATGAACTGGACATAATGCTGTGCCATCTCATGGAGAATTTTATCCTGGAGATGTGAGTATATGTTTTAGATGGGCCATAGCTTAATGTTAGGTAGATTTCCCAATTCCGTTTCATTTCTAAACTGATTGTCTATTTTTGACATGAGTGGGCATGCTGGACAATATCTTGCACCAAAACTAAGCATTGAGCAAATGTTGTTCTATTCTATCACATTTAAGAATGCACAGGAATATAATTTGGGTTGCACCTGACTCATTCATTTTTTTACATAGACTGGCAAGCAGAGAATACTATACTTAGCAGCACTGAACTGAACACAGTTCTATGCCATCTGACAGACAGCACCTTGCCAGAGTTGTGGATATATGATGGCTCCAGTTCTCTGTTCCTTTTTATATACATTGGCTATTATTAGCATGGGGGCACCCTGCTTGACAGTATCACTTCCTGTTTGGTAGCAGCAGGACCCCTACTCTTGTCATAGCCTGGGAAGAGTCCTCAGCAACCACCAGACACACTTGGAGAACCTGCAGGAAGTTTGCCTAGATACCTGGGATAAAAAGGGAAAGAAAAGCACTCAGATTTGTATCAAGCAAGACTCTATAGCTTTCAGTATGCCGTTTCTTGTGCTAGTCTGATGGATGTCTCAACATTGATTTATTTCAAAATTGTTTTAGATTTAGCATGTATTGCAGATAATGAAGTGGACAGTGGCCATGAAAATTTATGCCAAGATAAATTTAGTCTTTAAGATGCCAGAAGATTTCTTGTTGATTTTGCTGCAACAAACTAACATGGTTACCCCAAGGAACATCTTTGCTTTACTTATTGGCATGTTCTAAGGCATGTTGCCTTTGGAGATTTGATGTGAGGTGCACGGGGAGTTTTATGCTGCAACTGACCCCTGTTTCCTTATTGTTCATTTTTCTTGGTTTATTTTTTGTATTATGAATAGTCTCAATTGCTTAATGCATAATGAAGATACCATTAAATCAGTTACAGTGAACTATTAACAAGTATGGGAACAGTTGCCTGGAGGTAGAAATGAGATGTATTTACAGATTCATTTGCATGCTCCACTAGGTTTGTTTTGAACCAGGTGAGTACTACTCAAAGTGTGTTGTGAGAGGCATTTGGATAATGTCTAGGGCTGGCCCTGAACCCTGTGCCAAGGTGGGGAAAAATAGATCCACTGAGTGTCCTTGGGCTTCCTGTTTTAGAACTCACGAAACTAGAGAATTTGCTGCAAACTCTGAAGTCAACTCAGTTTTGCTTGAAACAAGGCCAAGGATAACTCAGAAGAAAAAAAACAGATAAAGCTTAAACAACTCATCCATCAACGTGAAATTGTTATGAATGTAAACTACACAGACTTTGGCTGAAATATCATCTGTCATTTTTATGGAGCTCTAGATTGTTTTTATGCACTGGGCCACAGGGGTTATTCTGCAAAAGTGTTAAATGGAGCATCTGATGAAGCAGGCTGTTGCTTATGTAAGTACTTCCCACCATAAACTGGTGAAGTTGGACGCCAAAGGATGATACTATGAGTTTAAAGTAGATGCAGCAAGGTTTCCAGCTCCCTCTGTCTCCCCTGCAGTATCCAATAGGCTGTCCCACAAAATCCAGGGACACTTTTGGAATTACTTCTCATGGTGTACAAACATATACGTCCTTTGATTTTAACTTCTAGCTGATTAAATTTGCCAATATTTACATATGATGTGCTTCATCCTAATATTGCCATCCTACTTTGTCTGTCTTTTACAACAGTTATGGAGATATGGTGCCCAAGACGATTGCTGGCAAGATATTTGGCTCCATTTGTTCACTCAGTGGTGTGCTTGTAATTGCTCTTCCTGTCCCAGTTATTGTTTCCAACTTCAGCCGGATTTACCACCAGAATCAAAGAGCTGACAAGCGGCGAGCACAAAAGGTAAGATGCTAACCCACTGAAAGACATGATGTACATCCAAATCCCAATCCCATTGCTGCTTTACTGATAATTGGTATAATTTATCAAAACTGCAATGTAGAGAAATTATATCTGTTCAAGGATCTTGTCCAAGATACTTTTTTACAGGCTGAATACTTATGCAATCAATAACTAGAAGGTCATGGATGGGGGATAGGATTCAAACCAAGAGGTTCAAATTACAAAAAAATAAGATTTTGCCTAAAGAGTAGGAAAAAGTTACTGATAGTTCAAGCTGTTGTTGGACCAGACTCCCTCAAGAGTGGTGGTCTTCCAATTGTTTAAGGTTTTTAAGCAGAGATTGGAGGGTCACCTATCAGGGATGTTGTGGTAGTGGTGCTCTTGTATCAGCTCATGTTAGGGTCAGACGATCAATGAATTCCCTTCCAAATAAAAGACTATTGGTTAAATATTGACAGCTATCAAAGAGATTACACTCTACAGATAATCAAATGTTTAAAATAATATTTTTCTTTAAGAGTGATCTGGTGGGCAGATCATGTCCTTATGACAATGTCAATTCACCCTTTTAAGGAGCTGCAACCATTTGCTCTGCTGAACATTCCCCGGCTCTGGTCTCACAAGGAGAAACGGCTCATGCAAAAGGAGAAGTGTTGAAAAGGAGAGGTGCTGCTGCTTCCCATTGGCTTTCCTGTATGAACTGTGCAGAAAGTTGTGGTCATGGATGTCTGGGTCTCTCCCCAGTCTATTTTCCAGCATGTTCAGTAGGTATGGCAGAGGACCAAGAATCAGGGGCTGAGGCATGGGTCCAGTCTCCCCACCTTCTCCCTTGCTTATTGGTCAGTCATGCATCCCCAGCGCCAGAAGAGAGAGAGGACTAGAGTGCTGAGAATATCTGTCTGTATGACAAACAGCCTCAGCCTGCCATATCCTAGCCCTTGGCTCCAGAGAAAGTGTCCCATCATCACATGCTCACATGTGTGCTCTAGACAAAGTGGTACTTGCATCTCAAGCTTGGTTCCCTGTTGGAGCTTAAATACTCTTGGTGGTGTTCTGTGATGGGCTCCTGAGTCAGTCAAAATCCATCATCTGATATTGTATGGGGGGAAGCGGTATATAGGGGAAGGTGGCCATCCATCTGGGTTTTTCACTGATTCTGATAAAAGCATTTTAACAGTTCTCTGCTCCCTCTCAGGACACCCTGACATCCCCTATGTGTCCTTTCTGTAGGGTCAGACTGCTGATGCTGCATTATGCTAATGGCCTTCATACAAATTTAATAAATAAATAAATACTTCTGATACAACAGTAGCAATGTATATGCATTGCACTGGCCTAACTTTTAATCCTGCTGGCATAAGCCCTATATTAGCAATCTGATCCTTGCAGATGTGATTTGAGGACAGAATCTTTCTGTAATCAATGTTTTTGAAAACAAAAAGTCATTCCTCATCAGTAAACACTGAAACTTCCCTTTGTAGGCGTGAACATTAAATATTGCTCTCAGTAAATCTGAAAATAAAACAAAAGGCAGTTGACGTGACTACATTTTTAACCCTCTGGGGAAAAATTCCTGGTAATTGACTTCCTTCTAATTAGCCCTAACAGCACCTCAGCACCTTCTTGTCTTTTGTGGAAAAGGCTGAAGGAAAGCTACTGCACATCACAGTGCCTGTTGGTAAGTCCAAGTGACAGGTGGAGCAACACAAGCCATAATGAGCGGAGGGGGCTTTCCTCCCTCCTGCAACAAAGAATGGGGAACAATCTATTATTAAATGTGTGGGTTATAAACCCAGAAAGAAAGCAGCAGATAGACATGTATCTCACTCACTATCTGATATGCTCTTTTTAAAAAATGGCTTTGGATTTTAACTGGAACATTTCCTCTCTCTTAAGCTCCTGCTTGATTGTGTTTATTCCATGTACATCTCGCTCTTCCTTTAGAGCAGCTTGTGTGACATGGAGCTGCTGGATACTTGTCCTCCTCTTGTACTGCCTAGACCAAGACCAGTTTAAGCTTTCACAGTGCAATAGCCTGTCCTCAGATGATTTCTTGCAAACTGGTGATGGTGCAAAGGTGGGATGACTAGGTAACAATGCAGGTGGTTAGCCATCCACACTCCAGCAAAGAAGCAAGAGCAGTCCTGTTAATGGAAATCCACATTTGTGCTGAAGATACCTTCTTTCTTTGGCTTGGAATCAAGTGGGAATCAGTGGGCATGTGCCGGTATGATCCCAGAGGTCAAATGGACATTTGTCTACATTGATACTTCTAGTTCAAGTCAGGCTTGAATTAAGACTAATTAGGCCTGAATCAAGCTTTGGATCAATCTCATTTACTGGGTAACTGCCATACATAATAAAGTCTGTCCACCACCTCATAGGATTAACGAGTGTATGAGTTAATTAGTAACAGGACCAACTTCATAAGATGATTCTCTGTTTAAGCAGTTGTAGCATCACTGAACTCAATAAGACTTCATCCATGAAAGTGAATGAGTTAATTAAATTTTGTTCAAGAGTGGGTGGACCTCCTTTTAACATCTACAAAGTGGTTCAAGCAAAATTATAGTTTTAAAGCTTGAGAAGGGAAGGGGGAAAGATCCTTCAGTTGAAATGGACAACAGCAGCACTTGAATACAGATGGACAAATATCTCCATTTCTCATTTTTTCAATCCAGTCCAGTTTTTCCCATGTGGTTCTGCCTTGTCCTCGGTTGATATTATGACTTATGACTTGAAGCACAATTCCCAGAAAATTGATGTAAACTCCATTGCACTGAATCATTCTGTTCAACACAGAAAGGCTCGTGTGAATTGGGTCAGGCGAGTGCTTTCCAGTGGATGTGAGGCTTGCTTAAAGTGCTTTCATGTGGAAAGTTCCCTTCCCTAGATATACCCAAAGTGTTTAATTTTCTGAGATTGCCTGTGTACATGTATACACTACATGCAACATGTACTTAGTAATATGTAAGTATAGTAATATATTATATAGTATCCAGATCCCCCACCCCCCAAGATCATGAGGTTTGGACAGAAAAAAGTGCTACAGTTTCCCGAATGCTGCAGCCAGCTATACAGGAATTGTCCTGTCTACATATGCAACAGGGCTGTGTTCTTACTTTGAAATCTGCTGGGTCAGACATTTTGAGTTCTTCCTCATTGTGTTGAGAGCGGCCTTGAGTATCTGCCCCAAAGCCCTTCCTAGCCAGCATCACTTTCTGTAAAAGGCCATTCAAGCATGCAACTTATCGGTGATGCAGAAATCTTCAGATGTTGTGGGAATTAGAGCATTGTTATACTAGTTTCACAGGTCTGTGCTGTATTGTAAATCTAGCACATGCAGAAAAGACTTGTATGTAAATTTATGGTACCTCAATTGCAGAGAAAGGTTATTCAGCTCAAATTATTGCACTACACCATTATCTTGAGAAGTATATTTTTATCCTGTACACTTTGACTTGAAGATGATTTCTTGGAAGTTGCCTATTGCTTAAGAGGGCTTAGCTTTTAGTACGTTCATTCTATTCCTTTTTCCTACCACTCCAATCTAGTTTTATTTATTTATTTTTATATTTGAAAACTGTCAAGTAGTTCAGATAGATTCTCCAGGCAGTATACTACAGCAAAGCTGCAACAAGACTATTTTACAATTACACATGAAATTATCTATGACTGAACAATTCAATCTGAAGTAACACTTGCTGTTGTGGAAAACTAACTCAACAGGTAATGAGCTAACCTGACTTTTCTTACCAACGTTATAATTCATTATCATGCAGCAACAATGTCTTATATTAGACATTAGGAAAGAGATTTACATTTACTTCTATTTGAGTTATTTGCATGTGCCACTTTCAGAACTTCGAACAACATAGCATTAAATGCAGCAAAATTAAATGTCCCAAAACCATGACCTATGGGATCATTCAAATCGTTTTTAAGCACTTGTAGGCACAGTTTATTTTGTCATCAGCAGCAATATTCACACCTTCATCCTTCTCTTTTAACAAAAATACCACTTTGCCTACTTAAAATAGTACCTGTGATCACATATAATCTGAAAAGAAAGAAATACTGTTAAAAGAAAATTGTGTGCTTCTAGACAAATAATACAGCAAATCATTGTGATTTACATTACAGTCTTCTTGTATTGTCCTCAGTAGTGTTACTGTAATTTGCTTAGATCACTGGGGTCAGTGTGCTTTTTAAGGACCATACTGTTGACACTGAATACTGAAGGAATTTTGAATATTGGGTCCAAGAGTAGCAACTGTCCAGAACCAAGTGGTGGTTTGGTTTGTGTTTGGTTGGGTAGTGACAGTGATGACTGTTGTTTGGATCATTAATCTTTCAGATTTGGCTTGGTTTCTTTCTTTCCTTCCTTCCTTCCTTCCCTCTTTCCTAATTATCACTTATTTGAGAATTTGACCCCTGGTTATTAAGAGACAGCTATATCCATATATTAAAGTGGCGACAAATATGCCTTCTTCGTCGTCGTCATCATCATATGTTACTACTTATCACACACCAATTCATAAGGATCCTTTATGAATATTTGTAGTGGTCTGATAAAGGTCTGACATGTACAAATAATCAATAGGTAGGGGGAAATAAGGATTTTACTGTCATGGATTTTACTAGCTCAGAATCACTTTTTTGATAGTCATGAATTCTAACTTGTGGTATGTCTGGACATACCAATTAAATGGAAGCCCATTTGCACAACTGCCTGAGAAGTGGTGTTCTTCACCTCTGTGCCTTTATCACAGTGGCCATTCAGTTGCAATTATGGTAAGCCTATGAATGAAAGCTCTTCAAAATGTCTTGTCCTTCACAGCCCTGCTCAGTAGGGCTTTACAAGAGTACATTCAAGGCTGTTGCTTATAAAATCAATGTATTGCATATTTGATTTTTCTCTTCTTCTGGCTTCAACTTTTTCAGTGAGTCTTGCCTTTTCTCAATATGCCCAAAATGTGGCAGCTTCAGTTTCATCATTT